AAGCTATCAATCAGATTGCTTTTAGCCCTGGAACTGTTCATAACAAACCTTTCACACGTGCTTGAACTGAAAGGGAGTGGAGTGCTTTCTGAAATTCCCCCTTGGCTAAGAACTGTAAAATTCAGTGTTAATATTTACTGAAGTATGGTGGTTTTTTCAAGTCCATCTCTGAAGGTTCAATTAAACATATATTTCTTGAAAACAACTGAACAGTAATTTTGTGTATTGTGCAATTTCCATAAGTAAATAAGAAAATACATCTGATTGATTCGGTCCATCATTCAAGCAAAGAAAAAATAATTAGGAAGAGCAGTTTGAAACCTGCCTTATGATTCTTTGAACAGTTAATCAACAAGAGTCACACTGTATCAGTCCCACTGGCAATACGGAGTTCAGCTTCAATGGGACTGCTTTGAGAGCCCCAGGTGAACCTTAAATACTCCAGGAGCATATTTGTGCCCAGAGGACTGAGTGAAGATGCTTCACTCAGCAAATGAGTGTTCAGAATTCTGTGTCAGGGTTTTTATCCAATTCTAATTTGTCACAATAAAGTGATAGTGTAAACATATTTCTTAATACCACATGAAGTTTGGAACCCAAAAAGGAGTAGTTGGTAGGAAAGAACTTCTCTGACAACTCCCACACTACCTCCGCAAGCCAATTCTGCATCTTTTCAAGCCCTGCTGGAGCTGGAGCCTCCTCCACAACGAGGACCTGGTTTTCTGCAGAACATTTCCACTCTGGGTTCTCAACCAGGCTCAGGGAATGGTAAGGAAGAAGGTAACGGAGTCCTCCTCTAATGAAGACAGCCTTGTTTTATTGAGTACTTCAGATCTTAACTTTTCTGGTTTTGAGCTACTGCAAGCTTGAAGAAGATGCAGCTGACGCTGCTCTGAGGACGAGGCTGGATGAAATGACCTGTTCTAACCTGAATTATTTTGTGGTCTTTGAATATAGGTCATTTTTAGGACAGATTTTTTTAAAGGTTGCCTTGGTGATTTCTATCACAGTGTCATTAAAGTGAGCAAATGCCACTGATGTTCATGGTAAAAACTTGTGGTGTAGGGCAGCTTCCACACTTCAGGAGTCTTATGGGGGGGACAGACAAACCAGAATCTGAAACACAAGAGTCTGGGTCTGGATGATTTATGTATGAAACTGCACATCATTTTGCATGATACATTAAAGTACCTTATTCATGTGCAGACCTTTCTTTATTCCAAGAAAAAGCCGAATGATATATCACACAAACCAAGAGATGATTATTCCTCAGACATCAGCTTAACAGCTGCAAACGTTTTGCCACAAGGTGATTTTTGTATAGAAATTGATTTTCATTGCAACCCTAATGCCAACAAACCAAATGGGAATCCTAACAAGCAGAAATACTCTGTTCACAAGCCTTCTCATTCCGAACCCCAGCTTCCAGCCTGGTGTACTCCACGAGCAAACTAAACCAGTGGTCACAATAGGAACTCAAATGGTTATTTCTCTTTAAAACTCTTGGGCCCAGGCACCTCCGGCTGATGGATGGGGGGCTGGGGACTCTGAGGGCGGAGGCGCATCCCGCGGGCAGGGCTGTGTGTGCCCGGCTTGGACAAGGCGCTCTTTGTATTCCCGGGGATGCAGGAACCCGGGAGAGAGCGGGAGGGAGGGAGAGAACCCGGGAGAGAGCGGGAGGGAGGGAGAGAACCCGGGAGAGAGCGGGAGGGAAGGAGGGAGAGAACCCGAGAGGAGGGAGAGGGGGAACCCTGGGCCAGGCTCGGCCGTGCCCGGGCAGCGCTCACCTCCCCAGGCTTCCCCAGGCGCACCCCTGGGGCGGAACAACCGGACCCCTGCCCAACACACACATGTAATGCTCACATAATCCCAGTTCCTAATTACTCTCCTGTAAATCAGAGTGATTTTAGTGAATTCACGTGAAAACAAAGGCGTGTTTCAACCTGAGGCTCAAAACAAGTGCACTTCTACTTCACACAGCACCAGAAAATGAAGTGTGGTGCAAAAAGCGCTTTTTACTTCAGCAAGATTAAACTTTAGTGAATGCGTTTCAAGTAAAATACCTGAGGGACACATCAGAAAGTGTGAAATGCAAACAAAGGAATTTCATATTACCTGTCATTAATTAGGGGTGCAAATACTCATCCTCCCCAGTGAGGAGCTTCTGGGAGCACACAACCTCTATCATCACAAAAATATAAAAGCTTTATAATATGGATAAGTAAGGGAGGCAGCACCACGTACTGATTTTTTTAAAATAATCCACAAGGTCTCAAATATATTTTAGTATCTTAAAGCTGAGAATTATCTCCTTTGAAAACAATTTTTGATAAATTTTCTTTGCACAGAAATTCCGTTACATATTTCAGAACCCCAGAAGCTTTGCCAGGGCATTTGATTCACTCTGCTCTGGACACTGTACTCCAATAGTTGTGTTTTTCCACAATAAAAGTAAAAGCATTCACAGATGATCGTTCAGGGAGTTACACCTGAGCAGGGAATATCTCAAAGCCCTCTGTTTCCAAGCAAAAGGCTGGCGTAACTGGATTTCTAATAAAATATTCAAAGCCTTTAACTGGATTCATTCCCACTGAAGCACAGTGGGGTGCTGCTACCTAAGAGTTAAGACCAAATTGCTATTGAAAGGTTCTACCATTTATAATGAACGACACAATTCTTGTCCCATTTAATTACATTTCCAACCACAAGATGCTGGTGTTAAGAGGATGAATGCACAGCTGCTTCCCAGTTCTACCAGCACCATCACAAAGATCCAAATGCCTGACCAAAAGCTGCTGGAGGTTATAAAGACTTCTGTCTTTCTAAGCATTGACTTCCAATCGAAAATGGTCTGCCCATCTGGACACTGGGAATCACTGGAGGCATTCAGCTAGAGAAGCCCGGATTTGTGCAGAGATGTGCACTCTGTAGGCCTAATATTGATCATGGCCCCTGTGCCCAGATTTTGTATCACCAACTCTTTCATCCTATGCTTTCAGAGGACTTGGTCCTGAAAAGGAGACTCAGACTTTGCTATCAGCAAAGACATTGAGCCATCTAGTCTCCCCACTCCACGCCTTACAGATCTGGTTTTCTAAATTAAATGCAGTCCAACTTATACTTTCTAGAACCTCCAAGTCACACACTGCCATTAATGTGTTCTGTAAAATATCTATTTCCCCAGACCTACTGTCTTTCCTTATTGTGAAAAACTCAAGCTTCAACAACACACTTCCCATCTCCAAAGCAAAATTTTTAGGACAGTTCCACAGAGTTTGAGTAATCCATTTCATTTCTTAAATCAGAACATCATAATCCAAAAAAGAGGGAAAACATGAAAAAAAACCCTTCACTGACTGTGGTGGCAGGGAAATGGGAGTAAAATTTAAAGAATGTTTGTGAACTTTCCTGATATATCTGAAACACATAGACATTCAGCTATTTCAGATGCATCATAGAAGTTCCAGTTTTTGTAATATTCCATTGAAAGTATATTTTCCTATGGTCAGATCAAACTTACAAAACAAAGTAGAAAAAAAGATGGCCTCATGGATCCTCTTTTAGGTTATAATTCATCTGCAGCAGATGGTTTAATTGAAACATATTAAATCACATCAACTCTGGACAGAAAATCAGTGCTTTTTATTATAAGAAGATGCATGTTTCATGTACAAAATCACAGAAAGAATCCATTGAGTAGAATCATAAAAATACACCATACTGGAAACTATTGGATAGTTTTAATGTATATCTAAGGGATCATTAAAATAACTGGCTGTATCTTTTAGTTTTGAACCTTGATTGCACAAGAGTCTGCTGGTTTAGACTTCATTATTTTTATGGTCTCCACTATATAAAGTGTTATAATGTGCATATGTGCCAGCTGTGTTTTCGTTCATCACTAGAAAACGAGGTTTTTTTTAAAAAATAGAAATCACACTTTTCCCCATAAAGTTGCATAATGTTTAAAAAATGCCATAAATCTCTTTGGTTGTGTAATGCATGGGCGCCACAAAACATAGCACATAGTTCTTTCCAGTACCAGCACTCTCAGCTCCAAAGAAAGGTTACAAAGAGTTAAATTTTTAGGCGAAAGAAGGAGGTCTGTTGTGAAGTCTCTTTTAGCTTGTGAGTTTTTATTGTTTTGCATTACTTCAGTGCTGGATTCCCGATTTGTAACAAATTCCAGGAGTGCAGACTACAGGTCCAGCCTCTGACTAACACTGTGGTGATTTATTTGAGGGTAAATACCTCTGTCCACATCTCCACACCAGAGTGCAGGGTAGCGTGGAATGCACGGAATGCTGGGGCTGCAGGAGCTGAGGCAGCAGGGCCAGGCATGGGCTGCCCTGTGCTGCTGAACTGCTCCATGGCTTCCTCCAGTCAAGAATGAAAGGAATTCTCTAAGTCTGAACTTTGTGCCAACAATGCTTGCATTCCCAGGAATGAGAATACAGCAAGAATGGCATTTGCTGATTGCCCAACACATTGCACCTCACTCACCAACACCTTACCTGTCTGACACATTCCACATCTGACTGTCAGAGCGCTGGGCAATCCCTCAGTAATGTTTAGCAACAACTGCAGCTTGCCCAGTTGTCAAGGCAGACCAGGGAGCAGCTGGCTCACAAGTTCCTGGCCTCAAAAAAATGCAAAGCATTTCTGTTTCTCCTCCTCCTGCCTCCCCACCCCCATCCGTACTGAGTGCCCAGAATCAGGGGAAGTGAAAGGGGCAGATTACAAAGAACAACTGAACAATACTTTAGAAATTGCAACGTGAATACGTATGTTTTACTATAAATAGCTGAGCTAATTCCTGTTACTTCATGCTGTACGAAAACAAAAGAAAACGAGAAACCCCATCTAATCACAGCAGATTTTAAGTAGATCTTTCATACAAGTTGGAACAAAAGAAAAATCAAGGGCAAAGTTTTTAGCCAGGGCACGATTTGAGCACACAGAGAAATGCAGAGGATAACCTTAAATAGCAAGGCACTTACAGATGTGGATTGAACATCCGACTCATTTTAGAGACGTGGTCGTTTTCACAGTCTAGCTCCTCGTCCCCCTGGTCTATGCTGAGCTTCCTCTTGTTGGGGCTGATGGGAGGAGGGCCCGTCCGGTGGTTGGTAAGCGCTGGGGACACGGGAAGGGGCTGCATTCGGGGCTCACCTCTCAGTGCTGCCTCACCTACGGGAGAACACAACGGAGAGTGAACACAGCAGGGAAAAGACAGGTGAAATAACATGCTCTGAAAACATGTTTGCAGAAAAATTTCCCCCAAAATTTCAAAATTTTCAAAATTTCCCGAACTGTACAGCCACGTTTTAACATGGTTGTACCATAACAAGGCACCATAAACCACACTCCAGTGCTTTATGCTGGGACAAAAAGTTGAGAAAAGGCAGCATAAGAGAGTGGGCAGCTCACCCCAGATGATCTGAAAGGCTGAGCTAACTCATCTTTGCAACAGCTTTTTTTACTCAGAAACATTCCTTTTCACAGGCTGCAATTCCAACACTGAGCTTTGATTACCTCACTCTGCAAACCATGACTACTCACAGTGAAATAAGCTTTGTTCCTTTTCTTATAAATTCCAGGGCTACAGTTCACATTTATGCCAAATATCCAAGATGTAAAAGTGAATAAACGTTCAAATTCTCAGATGATTCCCTTTACAAAAAGCCGTCCAAAACAAGCTTGTCTGGTATATAACTATGCAAGGGAAAAATTAAGGAAAAAAATTGGAACTTGCTATTTCAAGTTTTGAGTACTTTAAAACTGTGTTTTTGGAGCTGTGAACAAAGAGCACAATTCTTCAGCACAGGAATCACAGAATTTCAATTGGATCATGCTAATTTCCATCCGGGCAGACTGGGGTAGGTTCTCGAGTAGGTTACAAATTTTTATGTAATTTAACACCAGAAAATGCCACTCACAGCACACAGGAGCTGTGTATAAATAATTTCAGCAATGATAGAGTTGCCTTTGCATAAACACATGGACATATCGTTGCTAAACAGGTATAAAGCGTGACCATAGCACTTTTCCAATTTCAATTAAATGTCTCACTACTTGTATCACCTGAAGCACAGTGTTGCACTTCACCAGCACTTACACACTTTACTGGAACTCCCATTCTAACAGCCACAGGCCATATTTAGACCTCATAGGGATTTAAAGATGTTTAAAAAATGCTTTTGGGGCTTCATCAGGGGCCTGTAGAAGAGTTAAATTAACCAGAGTTACCTGTTCTGGTAGTATCTCTGAAATAGCCACCTTTGCTAGAGTTTAAAATTTGTATTTTTCCCTACACTGCCAGAAGCATTTTGTTTTCTACACAGCCATAATTTCCAGATCTAAAATTAGGATCGAGTTAACTCCATCCACAGTGCTGAGGTACCTGACAATGGAAATCTTTGTATACCACCACACATTTTCACATCATTGCTGAGGCAGATGATTTATAAAATGCCGCCCTAATTCCACACATGACAAATACCATTTTGTTGGAAAAAGGAGTGAGGAGAAAACCTCCTGAATGTTTACCAGTAAAAATAAGCATTCTGCCAGTTTAGTCAGCATAATATAAACTAGCAAATACATGCTGACCTATAATACACCACAAGCCACGATTTCTATTAAAGACTCTGGCACCAAATCTAAATAGGAACTTTCCATCTCAGCTCTAAATAGCAAAAACTGTGTCCTGCTGCAAATGCTCTAGGACAGACATCCAGACCTCTCCTGTTCCAAAGAACCAAAGTGTTAATTGAGAAGCCCCCACAACTGCTCCAGTGTCACGAGAGGAGCCTTTATCACACAGACCTCTCATAGTCTTCAGACCCGTAAACTTCTGCATTTTTAATTCAGCCTTCATATTTTGCCAGCAGAAACCTCCACCTACATATCCTAAACTTTAAAAGTAAACCACATCATACCAGCTCCTCTCTGTGAGGAATCTCCCTCATTTTTGTCTTTGAAAAAAATTAAGTTAATACCAATGTCAAAAGATAAAGCTTTCATCACCTAAAGTGAAACAGTGATACTGTCCTCCCACTCACTTGCAATCCCTTTTCTCCCTGCAATATCTCTGATCACTTCTGAGGACTCCAATATAAAATTCCACTACAGCAATTACAAACCCATGTAGGCACCTAACTCCTACTGACTTCTGAGCAACTCCTGACAGGAACACCTGTAATTTAAATATCCATGGAAAGCTAACTTGGGTGTTTACAAAAACCAAAAAATCTCTAGCTGTTGTTCAATTGAGTAAACTAGAAACTTTCCATTTTTCTCCAAACAACAGGTAGGAGCTTGATATTAAATTACCGCAATGAGATTTTTTTCTTAAAATAAAAAAATAAAAATTTCCCTTTCTTATATGAATGGTAAGAACAGCATTTATATATTAGCATCCAGATTGAGTACAAAATCTGGTAAAAAAGCTATAGTATGCTAGAAGAAAATCCATTTCAAAGAAACTTAACAAAGAAAGGAACAGATTCTATTTAAAAAAGCCTTTCAAATTTGGTAATGCATTTCCTTTGGTAAGGCATTTGCAGGGAACACTAAGGCCTTCAGTTAAACATACCAGAATCTGACCAGCACCACAGGACCATTTGTTCAAAATGAATCAAATTAACAAGCCCTTGAACACGTGGGAGCAATGAGCAGGTTGGAGCAGTGTGTCTCGTACAGGACAGACCGGTAGCAGTGACAGGGTGCCCAAGTGGCCAGTGCTCAGCACCTTGTACAGCCCATCCTGCCAACACCAGGCAAGCAGAACAATGCCAAAGATGGGTCCAGATAGCAGGGCAAGATCAAGAGGAAAAATCTCTTTGCATTGTTTATAGGGATAAACTGCTTATTCATACACTGAATTTGTACAGCACCATGACTTCTCATGAGGCCTGTATATTTGATTAGGGCTAAAACTGCTTTTAATTTAAGATGACTTCTTTACCTTCCTCCTTACCAAACTTGAATTTAAAACAGAGAGGGAGAAACCACAAAGGAGACTACTGCCCCAAATGCTGTTTTAGGGACTAAATTTGTCTCCCCCAGCTGACCACACTCCATGGAAACCAGACTAGCATCACGCAGCTGGCAAGACAACACTCATAGAACAACTGTGTTTTATAAAATTCCCCAAGTCCAAACTCCAGTCTTCAAAATTCATTACTGTGATGGCTTGTGTATGCCCTGCAACTGAGAGCAGAGATAGCAAACACATTTATTGTGCCTCTCATAATGCTCCTCTTTGTCTCAGTCAGCAGCTGGTGTAAGGCACTCCAGATCTGCTGCTTTCAGATAGTTCTACTTACAACTATTCATACTAGTCCCTTCCCCCTGCCCCCTCTTTTTTTATTAAAACTGTTGGGCAACATGATAAAAAGCACAGACAAGCTAAACAAAGATAACACCGTGACGTAGTGTCTGCCTATAGAGCAGCAGCGCTCTCAGTTGACTCAAGTCCATGCGGTCAGCAAGAATGTTCTTTATTTTAACCACTTACTAGCCTAAACTGAAAGTGGTTCCAATTAACACATGCAAACTATAATATATAATAATAATGGCCAGTCTTCGCGAGCGAAGATGTGGGGAAGGTCTTTACACCTTCCAGCCTGCGCATTGGATTTTTTAGGTGAGACACAGTGTGCGTGGAACTGAGCCCACCCTTTAATCCTAAGGTTCATCTGCCGGGGCCAAGCGAGCTTGGACGGTGGCAGCGAGGTCCTTAGGACGTAGGTGGGTTGCCTTTAAGGGCTAACGAGCTCCACCTGCCCGGGAGTGGCCCTGACCGGGAATCGAACCCGGGTCTCCGCGGTGATAGCGCAGCGCCTTTACCACTAGACCACCAGGGGCTCCATACATACAAACTAAATGTTTGTTAAACTAGCGTGGCTCTTTTCAGCCCTACACACCACCAGGACAGCTCTCTGTAAACAGTGGATCTCCAGCTCTATTTGCCTTTCTCTTTGCAGCTCAGTCAGCAGTATCTGCATCCCCACCTGAATGTCCACACAACACAAACATCACGACAGTAAAAGTCATGTTTTTACAAGTGTGGACTTGATAGCAAGACACCAGAGAAGTCTTAAATGTGTCTGAGAACTCCAGGAGTTACCAAAGACTGGAAAAAAAACCAGACACTATTTTGGCAGCTTCCTTCCTCTGACCCAGCAGCTCTGCATGGGCTGCAAGGAGACAGCACGACCATATCCTACCCCCTCCCCATTTCCTCTCTCCTTCTGGCCACTATTAATGCATAAGGTCTAAGCATTAATTACCACCCAGAAATGAAAGACTTCATCTTTCCAGCTGAAGACTGACATGATACAGACCTTAAGACAGATTGAAATAAAACTCCTTGAAAGAAAATTCCAGCACTGCCCTTGCCCATTTTACTTTTCTGTTCTGTGTCCGATAAATGGATTTGTTCACGAGAGTAAATTCCCAACAACTTCATTAACTTTGGAAAAAAATAATGAATTCCTCAGTTGTGGTGTTTGTCACCAGGGTCCTTACCTTGAAGGTCTTGGGTTGAATTACCATGACCTCAGGCCACTCCATCAATTAATCAAATCGTGGGCAAGAGCATTTAACAGACTTTACTAAATGGGCATTACACTTTTAATTACCTTTTCCAATACCTGCAGACAAACTCTCAGTAGTGGAAGGAGTTGCCTCATGTTCCTAGGGCCATATTCCCAGGAATGAATAGTACATGGAGATCTTCAAGGGCAGTTTTCTCTACTGATTCAAGACCAAAATTTAGTTTTGTGACATATGAAGCACTTCTGCTGAAAAGCCAAGATAATCACAAAAGCAATCTATGTGGGAAAAGGATAATACAAAATGAAACTTATACTATTTTCTATTCCTGTATTCTAACAATCATGAGGAGATTAGATCACAAATAGATTGGAATTAATTTATAAAACATTGTATGCTTTTTTCCACTACCTAAAACACAGAAGTCAGTCTATGCCAACATAAATTGGGATACATGGCATAAAAATTCCAATTCATGTACAAAGCAAAAAATCACATGATTTGAGATATCAAATACCAAGTAGGGAAGTCACCACAAATTGCTCAATTCAACAAGTCAACAAAACAAGTTATCAAAACAGAAGAACTGCAATACAGCACCAGAGAATCAATGTGCAGATTTTAGCAGC